TTCAGTGATCTCTGTTGCAAGACTTTTTCCGATTTTTTTATGACATTCAATGAAGTCAACAAAGCTTTCCTAAATTATACAGGTTTCATCATTGATGCAGACATACCTAATTATTTGGGTCATCTGCTCTTTAAGGAAGGAATCTGGAGTGCAGTTAAACAAAACAGAGTAGTATTTAGCTTCTTTAATTTAATGTTTGACAATATTTCTGACATCTCTGCCCAAGTAAATCAATCAACTCATTTTGTATTCGAGGAGAAAAGTAGGACGTTGTAGTTTTCATTGCTTTAAAAGATGCAATGTTTTCAGCCGCTAAAGAATAATAATTGCTTATTAGTTCAATCAAGTTTAGAAAAATTCCACTGTTTTGTTGACCGATGACTTCTGTTGTGCCCCGAAGGACAAGATTGTTCCTGGCACAGAACAAAATTGCATCAACAATCACTTTTCACTCTCTCTCTCTCTCTCTCTCTCTCTCTCTCTCTCTCTCTCTCTCTCTTTGAAAAGAAATGAAAAAGCGTCTCTCCACTTTTTCATTTCTCCATTAATAACTCTCTGCAGATCAGAACCCATGATCTTTCCTTCTTCGAGGTTTTTTTTTGAGAGTTTTCCAATCAGAATATCATCTTTGGTGTTTATTGCTTTTTTCATGTTCAGGAACTGAACATGAGTTTAGTTTTTTCCCGTCACAAAATCCTTTTGAAATTTCTGAGAAATTGTTGGTTTTTGCCGTTGAAAATAACAAAAAACAAAAACAAAACAGTCAATCTTTTTTATTACTGTACAGCAACCAATGGTCAACAAATTTTTCACCATTGGGATGAATTTTTTCATACCATTTTGTGCTGAAGTGTTGCTTTTTATTGTCAAAATCACACAGCGTGTATGGGAAAAATTATCTTCTTTCTTGCTCTGGCCCATGTTGAATCAAAAAGATTCTTGTATTGTCCGTTAGTTTAGGCCATGTTGCTGGATCCCTGTATTTAAAGATTTTTCCTAAGGTTGGCGGAATATCTGATAATTCTGAATGAAGTTCATTGTGATCCATTTCAGCCCGGTCAGAAAGCTGGGAATTTCCATACTCTCTTGTTGTTTCTGAATTATTTGTGCAAAATTCTTCTTGACTATGGCTAATAAAAATCTCCTCTTCAATTAATTCCAAATTATGATCTGAACCTAAGTCATTAACTCGATATGTTTGAAAACCTATATCTGTTGAACTTTCATTAATTTCTCTGAAATAATTTATTTTTCCTCTGCAGAGTTAGTTACCAACTACTTCTTGAAAAAATTTTCTAGTTTCTCATCACTTTCTAGGCGCTGTTTTCTTTTCTTCTTAAACTGAGCGCCAGATAATTTTTTGGTGCGATTCATTATAGAAACTTAATGTTTACTATAGTTGATAAACATATATGTTTTAACTAAGTTTTGAAAACTAAAAATGCGTTTTTTGCAATCTAAAAAATGATCCTAATTAAATGTGATTTTACCATTTTTTTCTTTTTAAAGATTTCTTATGATAGGACTTTTCAATTAACTGTCCCATCATAAGTAATAACTTTAAATCATTTTACAAAATCGACTATAAACTTTATGGACAGTGTCCATATAGTCTCAAAATACAACAATTATAAAAAAAATTAATATTGAATGTACTGAATAAAAAGAAAAATAAAATTTTATAAACACATATAAACTATTTTAGAGTTAAATGGCGCTCTACTGCCGCAGAAGAGCGCCCTTTAACATAAACTTCAACTTATAAAACATAAACTTACATAACCTCCAACTTATAAAACATAAACTTACATAAACTCCAACTTATAAAACATAAACTTTTATAAACTCCAACTTATAAAACATAAACTTTTATAAACTCCAACTTATAATACATAAACTTAAACAAATTTTAACTTATAAAAACTCATTTACTGAACTGTTGAGTATATGAGCTTTTATAAGTTGATGTAAAGAGGCGCAGTTTTAATTAATTTTTTTTATCAACTTCAAAGAGATGCCATAAAAATGTGTTTTCAAATGATATTAATTTTTTTTTTTATTTATTTTTTAATTTTATTTACTTTTAATTTATTTTACTGGAATTTTGCGTCCTTCCAAGTTTGGCGCCTCGGGCCGCGGCCCGGCTGGCTCCGCCCTTGGTACGGGCCTGACAGTAGGAATCTCGTACGACAGTTGTACATCAAAAATCTTTTAAAATGGAAATATTTTATTGCGTAAGTTTTTTTAATTTAAAATTCATGTTATATTTTGTATTGTATGCTAGCATCTAAATAAATAGCAAACATATATGCTTATATCCATATTATGTATGCATAAATGCACATCTTGGAAACTTTTTTCTGATCTTTTTACTTCTCCCAAAAATAAGGCAGAGTTATTTCCAAGGAAATCTTACTCTAATTTGACTCTTGAATCTAAAGTCTATACTCTTCCAGCCAGTTAAACAGATTAACCCATTGTTAAACATTCAAATCCCTCACATCCAAATCATCCAAATCAATTCCAATGCTAAAGTAAATTCTCAATTGAACACTTCTACAGTTTGTGCTTAAGACAACACTTTAATCATAGTCTTAAAAATGTGTTCTCCATACCTCTATTCAATTTTTGGCTGAACTATTAAAAAGTTTTTTAATAGTTTAGCCTTTTTTTTCCTTAAAGTTTATAACTTGCAGTTTTAATTTGAAAATTTATAATAATTTGAGTAACTTTGCTGTAAAACGGTCTTTAGTACCATAGAAATATGCGCACCTTTGGTAACCTTATCTTATAACTGTTTTCATTATTAAGCTAATTTTTTTAACCAATTGTTACATCTGCTTTCTTAATTTCACACCTCTGTATAGTTTGTTTTTATTTTATTTAGTGTTAACCCACTTTTCAATTGTTAGTATTTTTTAGGTTTATTTTTATATAATTGTATTATCTGCTTGTTACCTACTTGATTAAATTAGGTATTGAATAAATTTAATAATGATATTAAATCAACTAATTCAAATAAAAGAAAGATCATTAGAATATTTGTAATATAAAATTTAAAAGATTAAAAATGCGTTTACTCAAATCTATCAATAAAAATTAATTGCACGCGATATCTAAAATGTTTAGGTATTACTCGCAATAACTGATGTTGTTAAATGTTTATAACATATATTTCTACAAAAAGTTACATACGAGATATTTGCCCAGTGAACACAAAAAAACTTTTATTCTTAGTTACGCAGCAAACATTCTATGGCGGAATTTAAGCGGACCTAGAAACATTTTGAGCGGTCTACTGTAGTTTGTAGTTACGCATCGGTTACTTAATGAACCATTAGTGGCAGCCACCAAATGTGGCTAGCCGATGTCTAGCAACTATATCACACGTTAGAAATTTATCGGCTAGCCACTTTTAGCGGATGCCACTAATGGTCCACCAAGTAATGAAGGAGCAAATCTATAATGAACCGCTAAAATGAATGTTTACTAGATATTTTTTATCAAAAAGATTAATTAGGTTATCGTTGAAGTAAGATGCGATTAAAAAACTTGCGTGAAGCAGTTAACTTAAGTATATTGTAGTAGCACACTTTAAATTTTATTTAAGAATTTTTAACGATTTAATAATTGCTTAAAAGTACCGTTTGTGAAAAATTAAATAAGGCTAATGCTGTTTAATTGCGCAAATGCTTCTTTATTTTCTCAATAAATTCAGAACTCACTTATGACGACATTAAAAAAAGTTTTTTACAATATCAAAATTCGTTACATTTTCTAAACTAAATTAAGCAAAAATCATAACTGTGAAACTCAATTCTTAGGAGAACATATTAGTTTTAATTTATGCAACTTTATGCAAGTTATACAAACATTTCAGATGATGATGCATGATGCACGTTGCATGATGGTTAAATTTTCTTTTATGATAGTTCTACTAAACTCTTTACTTCCAGCATGTTTTTTACAAAGTGAAATACCGACAATCGCAAATCGTGGAATTTACGGTTAGAATTGCTTTTTTTTTAGCTACTTTTGAAAAATATTTTATGATAATAAATAGTTTTAAAACACAATGAGTTAGACTTTAATTAATTTGTTTCTATCAAGTATTTTATTACTCAAAATAATACGAGTTATTTATTTTAATAAATTTAGTTGATTATTTACTCTAAATTAGGGATGTACCGGATTTTTTTCATTTAAATCAAATCGCTTTTGGTTGTAATTAAACTTTTTTTTTTCCTTTTTTTTTTTGACATGTGACACAGGCTGTGTAAATAAATCAAAAAATCATTATCCTACAGAGCAATGAATGTAAAGGTTTACAGAAATAGTAGTACTGCAAATACATTTGCAAAAATTACATTTGTATTTTTTACCTAGGTTTACTTATATATAGTTCTTCATTGCTCTATAGGATAATGATTTTTTGATTTACTTACACAGCCTGCGTCCCATGTCATAAAAAAAAGTAAAAAAAAATTTAACTACAGCCTAAAGCGAATTGATCTGAAAGAAAAAAAATCCGACCGGATTTCCAGTACATCCCTACGCTAAATACACAACTCAACTTAAACAAATATGTGAAATTAAAAGAACCGGCTTTTTTTAGTAAGCTATTCGAATAACTCCAATCGTCCGATTTATTTTTATTTTTATAACGAGTGTTTTTTTAGTTTCAATTTCGGATAACCTTACTTTTGCTTTTTTTTATAATCTTATTCTCTAACTTTAGTCTCTAAATGTTTCATCTAATCACCGTCAATAAATATCTTTTTATTTAAACAATATCTCAATAGTTTGTTGTCTAGAAAACTCAATACGTTGCAAATGTGTCTAAATATTTCAATAGGTTGCTGAGGTTATATCAAAATTTATTAAAATTATATCAAAACTTAAAAATGTTAAAAAAGCTTTCATAAAAATTTATATAAATCAATGGCATATGTTCAATTGCTGTTTATACTTTTGTAATTTAAAAAGTATTTTCTGTATACATGTTTGTTTCTCTATTAAAACATTTAGTTCCAGCAATACCTTGCGATCCATTAACTTGTATTTTACCAAAATGCAGATGCGCCGGAACCGACACTCCTGGTGGTTTAACAAAAGATAACACACCACAAATTGTAATGTTTACAATGGATGACGGAATAACTCAAAATAACTTTCAGTTGTATCAAGATTTGCTCTCTGGATTAATAAATTTCAACGGGTGTCCCGCCAAAGCGACCTTCTTTTTATCAGGGGACAACACTGATTATAGTCTGGTAAAGATTCTGCAAACTCAGGGTTAGCGCAAAGTATTTTTCACAAACAGTTTGTTGTTTGTTAAACTTAAATTAGAATTTAAGTTAATAAATCTATTTTTAGGTCATGAAATTGGTGATCATTCAGTGACACACAGGTTCCCTGTTAATTGGTGGATTCAAAATGTAAGATTTTTTTAACAAATGCAAGTACAGAATGAGTTTTTTAAAAAGCTATATTTCAAGATAATACAAAAAATTTAAAATAGTAAAAATCTTTTTAAAAAAATCAAATAGTAAAATTTTAAGTTTATAATATTTTGAAGATCAGACTTTTTTCTTATAATGTTTTGTAATAAAAACTATTTTCATTACTAAAGTATTATTGGGGAAATTATTTTTTGGGGAAACCGAATTTCTATATAGTTTTGACTCCAAGCTAATTTGTGTTGAATAACAATTATTTTTGATATCACAAGATTTCAAAAATAATTGTTATTCAACCCAAGGATAAATGTCCGTATAAACATGAAGGGATAAATAAGTAGGGATAAAATCTGATGTTTACATTTTTAGAGTTTCTTAAAATAGCCTTTAATTTTCTTAAAATATTTAACTTTTTTCAAATTTTTTTTTCAAAAACTTTTTTAAAAATAAAACATATTACACCATTAGGTTAATAGATCGATAAAGTTTTTTCTTAAAAAGAGCGTTTTGTCTATTAGCAAGAAAAAATATAAGTTGTAAAACTTAAAGTAAAATTTTTTGTAAAACTTAAAGTAAAATTTTTTTTAAATCTCCTTTTATTTTCAACTTAGATCCTAGACTTTTTATATTTGTAAATTAATTTAATAGTATACTTGTGTTAAACAAATCAAGTGTTTTAAAATCGGCAATAATTTTACATTTAATTTTTTAAGTCGTACAGTGATCTTGAATTTGAAGTTATCAATCAAAGAAAAGCCATTGAAGAAATGGTTGGTGTAACAACGCGTGGATGGAGAACTCCATTCCTTGCAAGTACAGAAAACGTGTTTAGTGTATTAGCTGATAACAACTTCTTATATGATAGTTCATTGGGTACATATCCCAGAACAAGATGGTGGCCGTATACTTTGGATTATTTACCTTCTTTAAACTGTTACATGCTAAACTGTCCATCAAGTAGTTATTAATAATATATTATTTAATCTTATAGCTATAAAAAGTATTTCTAAAGATATCAATAATAAATGATATTAAAAATAAATAAATACAAAACTGTATTTTAGATTCATATCCAGGTTTGTGGGAGATTCCATTAGTTCCTTGGCAATGTAATGCCACGGAAGAAATTTTTGGAACAATGATCGATGAGTGCAAAGATCCCGGAGACGAGGAAAGCGTTTATGAAATGATTATGCGCAATTTTAGATTGCACTATGAAGATAACAAGCAACCATTTCCAATATTTGGACATTCTTCATGGTTTGACAGCGCACCCTATAAAAAATCCGGTACAAAACTAATTTTGTTTTGCTATTACTTTGTTTTATTTGAATTTTTTGTTAATTAATTCTTCTTTTTCTTTCCTCTTTTCTTTAGCTCTAATCAGATTTATGAATGAAGTTGTAAAATTCAATGATGTATTTTTTGTATCTGCTCAAGATGCAGTTCAATGGACTCAATCGCCAATTGGTCTTGATCGGAATCCGTTTTCTTGTCCTCAAAGTATAGCTACAAAATGACTTGACGTTATAAAAATTTGTTTTTAATCATTAATGGAAAAAGCAACTAATTTAATTTTTGTAATTGTTTAAATAAAATAAGTTAAAGCAAATATTTGTTATATATATATTTTTTACTTTATCAGTTTTTAATTGTTACATCGATAGAAAACCTTTTTTTTCTTGTTAGAAAAAAAGAAAAAAAAAAGGGTTTTCTATTGATGTAACATTTAAAACACAAAAGATAAAAGTTGAAATTCATAATAAGTTTTTATAACTTTGCAATATCGCTTGTCATATTTTATTATTAATTAGATTATTTAAAAAACAACTTAAATATTTGGATGGAGGTTTAACTTTTGACTATAACTATATCAGAAGCTTGAATTGATATACCTTATTTTATTTCCTAAACTGATTATACCACAAATTTTCCTTTTTTTCCAAAAATATTTGTTTTCTTCTTGTTTAACTATTGTTAAGGGGCAAATTGGTGACAATAAGTATATATTAAAATATATCAATGGATATCCCCTTTTTTATTACATCAGACTGTGTATCTTTTTAAGAAAATACATTTTGAATCACAAATATGAGAAGAAAAAGTTTCAAATATAAAACATTAAAATCCGACTTTCCTTTAAACATACACTTTGCTCAACTTGTATTAACGTTAACATTTCTAAAAGCCCATATTTAGCCAAAGTTTAAAAAAAAATGTTTTTCACTTCAAACAAAATATGAATCGAAATAATAATGAACTTACAGTTTTTTTATAGAATTTTTAAAAACTTAAAATTGAATAATAACTAAATAATTTTTCTGTTTTTTTTTATACTTAAAGAAAAAAAAAACAATCGACAAAGTTTTAACTTGAGTGAATAGATTCTTTTTTGGTCTATTATGGTCAATGCTTAAAGGAGCTATCATATCTAGTTCTATGAATCAAAAATTATTCTCGCTGACTATAAATGGGAGTTTTTACAAACCCGGACAAAACTATATGATTTAGCATGGGTTGAAAGCCAGGGCTAGAAAAAAATTTATTATACTTTATATAATATAAACTTATGCGTACATCAACTGTTTATTAAAAACTAGCATATATATATATATATATATATATATATATATATATATATATATATATATATATATATATATATATATATATATATATATATATATATATATATATATATATATATATATATATATATATATATATATATTAGTATTTTTAAAAAACTAGTTTTCTTTCTACATAATTGCAAGCAACCTCTATTAAGTTATAAGTTACTAGTGAACTAAGGAAGCGGTTAAAGATCAAGGAAACGGTTAACTCACAACTAAACAAGTTTTAGGGTGTATGAGTACGGAAAACAGAAGATGGAAAAGAGTTCTTTAGGGTTGAAGTGTGGAAAAAAAAACTAGACAAATAAAAATTTGTTTAGCATGAAGGGACAGATACAGTAAAAGATGGCGACTTGAATTTGCTGAATGACAAGTCAAAATAGCACGAGTTTTGGATGAGCTAGAGATGCTTTGAGCAGCCTCTATGATAGTATTTGTAGAAAAAAGAATGGGATGCAACATTAAATAACCGAGTTTTATCGACTTAAAAACTATCTTTAATACTGCGATTAGCACGAAATGATTTAATAATCTTTAATAATCATATGCAAAAATCTTTAATAAATATATAATAACCTTTAATAAATCCTATACAAAAATCTAATAATAGGGAGAAACAATAATATATAGAAACTATATAGAAACTATAAGAAAAGAAAAAAATAATAGAATAGAATTGAATAGAATTGTTTGAGAGGTCAGAGCGTTTTCTAGAGTTTTTAAATATTGAAACTTATTTAGCCTTTATTATTAGTTTAGCAAGAATTGAAGAGAGTTATTAAGAGCACTTTTGTTAGACTGTGATGGTAATGCTGTCTACACCATAAGCCGTAGAAGGTTTTAATTAAAAATTAACTGCATCATTGTGGGTAATTTTATCAACTGCACAAGAATGAAGAAACGTTGAGTAGAATGAGGCTTGACTTAAAAATGACATTAAACTTTCATTTCTGCTAGGATTTAGGAGGTTAGGTAAGAGGCACATTTATGCATACATAATAAGGATATAAACATGTTTGCTATTTATCACCATGAACGGTTGAAATTTGGACGATTTTAAATTGAGTTTTCTTAAAACCACTTAATCCGTTGATATGATTTTATTTTTATAATGATGCTAACATAATTAGTTTTCTTGTTTGGGAGTGTAGTTTAGTTTACTCGTCATTAATTTTTGCATTGTCGAATAAAGAGTTTGAAAATTGATAAAAAATTGAAATTATACAATGAAAACCCATTGTTCTTGTATTCCATGATTTCCAAAACATGTAAAGTTCCAAAATCAACTGTTGAAATTGTTATAAAACGTTATAAGAAAAAAAACTATAAAAAGAAAATCGGAAAGTGAAGGAAAATCAAAATTTATTTAAAATATATATATATATATATATATATATATATATATATATTTATATATATATATATATATATATTTATATATATATATATATATATATATATATATATATATATATATATATATATATATATATATATATATATATATATATATATATATATATATATATATGTATATATATATATATATATATATATATATATATATATATATATATATATATATATATATATATATATATACTTTACTTCTTGGTTAGTATATAAGCGATGTTTTAAGTGATGTTTTTTAAAAATCAATCTCGTCAAAAAGAAAGGCGAAACTTGGAAGCTATAAGTTTCCTTACTTTTTCCCCACAAAAAAATAAGAAGGTTGGAGTGGAGACGGGCGAAATTTTGGACCAAACAAAAAATTTCCTGTCGTAGCCCCCAGGTTCGGTTGAGATTTTTTCATTAAAAAAGATTTTTTCATCTTAAAACACACCCTTTTAAACTTTGATGTTATTAACGTGTAATAAAAGAGTGTAAGTAGAAAATTAATATATATTGTTATATATTACGTATGTCGTCGTCGTAGTAGTAGTAGTAGTAGTAATAGTAGTAGTAGTAATAGTAGTAGTAGTAGTAGTAGTAATAGTAGTAGTAGTAGTAGTAGTAGTAGTAGTAGTAGTAGTAGTAGTAGTAGTAGTAGTAGTAGTAGTAGTAGTAGTAGTAGTAGTAGTAGTAGTAGTAGTAGTAGTAGTAGTAGTAGTAGAAGTAGTAGTAGAGCGGTTGTTGAGCGCGTCAACAGTAGAAGGCAGTTTAGCCAATATCTTAAACGATTTCACATTTTTTGCATTTGTTGTTTTTTCGGAGAGGTTGTTCATTTTGTAACAATGTGATTTGTGAAAAAAATGATGTGATGATTTTTAATTTCATGCGGTATACGCTTTATCCTGTGTTGATACAACAAATCGCGACGTTAGAACTATCTTGTTCTATCTCCACTTTCTAAAAAAATTGAGTTAATGATAGTGTTGTGTTCCTCAAAATAATGTCTTTCTACTGAATTGAAATGTAAGTTATAAGTAAAAAAGTTGCGGAAAAAACATAAGTTATAAAAAAAAATTTATTCGCCGTCTCCTATGTTTTTGTTTTTTAAATCGTTTTATCTCAAGACAGAAAAATTTACCAGCATTTGAGACTAGAAGCAATAAAAATTGGATTTTGATGTAATTTCTTACAAGGATATTTTTAACAAATTAAAATGCTTAAATACCAAAAAGTTGTGTGGAGCAGATCTTGTTAAACATATAATCTTAAAAAACATGCGGATACGGAATAGCTTTATCAATTGCATATATATTTGAAGCTTTTGTTGAGTTTACTGACTTACTCAACAAAATTTCTTTTTTCGTTGAGTTTAGTGACATCTCAACAAAAATTCAGTGGAAATAAGTCAATTTTAGTCCTCATTTTCACTTAACTCTGTTCCTTGTAGTATTATAGAAAGGGTTGTGCAAGAGTTAGTTATGATTTTCTAAAAGGTAAATTTCTGCAAAATAATCTAGAAAAAGATATGATTGGTCAAATGAATGACTGAAAAAGTATAATTTTAAGAAGTGGTTAGCTCTTTGGCAAAAACAAACCAAAAACAATTTATTTATGAAAAATATACCTTTCAATACAGATTGTAGTACATAACTGTAGCTGAAAAAGATCCTAGTGTGTAGCTCTGACTAAAAATGGAAAAATCAAGTTACTATATGAGAAAAAATTAACAAAGAAAGAATGTTAAAAAATACATATCTAGGTTTCAACAGTGAATTATTGAAAATGGTATGCTGTGTACTACTTTATTCGTAAGACAAATTTGGAGCAATTTAGTTCAAATGTACAAGAACCTCAATGGAATGGGAAACGTAATTTTAACCAAGGAAGTTTTGTCGAGAATTTATTAATCAGCAAGAGGTCATCAAATAAAATATAATCTTGAATTACTAATTATATGCCAAGACATTATTACTTAGCAAAAAGAACATCTTTTTATTAGAATTGATTACCTACTGATGTTGTCAATGCTGTTTCTGTCAATTCATTTAAAGGTTATCTCAACAGATGAATTTAAAATAATGTAATTATGTTGAATAATGATACAAAGTTTGAAAATTCTGAAAGTAATACTAACAAAATACCCCGAATGAAATATTTTAGGAAAACCATTCGTTTGAGTCCTTTTTTCACTTTTTTTTTAGTTTTTGCCTTTTTGTAAAACTATGATAAGTTTTTTTCATCAAAATGAAATTCAAAACTTTGTCAAAAATAATAAAGAGACAAATGAGTAACGCTTGTCAGTATTTGGTTAGAGACTTCCACATCAATAAACTCCTGAAAATTAGCATGAAAAATTGCATAGCAAAGTTTGTTCTCCAAATGATATCATTCAACTTAGTTAGCCAATAGGACACCTTTAACATTAGGAAGTGTCCAATAGTAAACTTTTACCATTAACAAATTTATTAAGTTATGGTATTAGGTCAATATAAGCTAGCTTTTAAAATTTCAATCTTCAGCTACATGAGAACTGTTC